GACGGCGGGGTCATGCGCGATGGCGGGCGTTGGCAGGTGCTGGTGGGGTCCGTCGAAGAACCGCGTTGAAGTTGCGCGTCGAAGGTCGGCGGACACACAGTGCTGCAAGGCAGGGAAGGGGGGACGTCGGGGGCACATCTTCAGCATGGGGGAGGGAACGGGGGCCGGTAGTTCCCGCCCTCACCGATTTGAAATTGGTGCAATCTGGGCCGTCGATCTTCGAGATCATCGATCTTCGAGATCGACGATCCAGCTGGGGCCCGATTTCAAATCGGTGAAATCGGGCCTACCGGCCCTGTTTTTTTTTTTCCCGCGGTCCACACGGTCTATGAAGGGGGCAAAAAGGGCCCCAGCGCCGAAAAAAAAAACAAACAAACTAACCTACAGTGATGCGCTGGGGGCGCCCGGTGGCCAACCAGGTGCGACAACTGGCCAGGCGGCCCGGCACCCCCCCCGGGCGACGGCCAGGCCGCTGGGCGGCCCGGGGACCAGCCTAGTTCTGAATTCATTACTCGGGGCCGGTCACGGCTGTCAGGTCAAGGATGATATCTCGAGCCTCGAGGCCGTCGCCATGTTGAAAAGGATGGAAAAAAGAAAAAGAAAGAGAGAGGAAACAGGAAGAAGTAAAAAAAAAAAAAAAAAAAAGTCTAGAACCGTTTAGCAGTGGAATAAGTCACGACATAACGGGGATTGGCAGATTAAAAAAAGGAAAAAAGGATTGACAGATTGTGAGCGCTTTCTTGATGTATGGGTGGTGGTTTGCCTCTTGCACAGGGGCCATGCTACCATCTTCACCCGAATAGAACGCCCGGTCATTATAGCCGTATTTGGTGTGATTTTCAGTCCAGATACGGCTATATTGACCGGGCCTTATATTCGGGTGAAGACGGTAGTCTTCTCTCTGTCTCTGTATCGTTCCAATTCCAATTTTAATTGATGTCCAAAAAAGGACGGTGCATGGCCGTTCTTAGTTGGCGGAGTGGAAAAAAAACACAGAAAAAACAAAAAAACTTTAAAAAAGGGATAAAGAATATGGACCTCTGATGCGTCCCTCAGCATATGAATAAGCAACAGGTACCCTGCACAAAAGAAATAGCACACAACCCCTACAGCAGTACAGGCATCCGCCTGTTATGGGCGAGGTCACCGGTTCAACAACTCCATCCGGCTGCGGTTCGATTGGCTACAACCTGAAACTCCAAGCAGTAAACGAATGCACTAACCAGCCAGAGGATGTTCATCTAGGCGGCGATGGAGTGTGCGTGGAGGCCGTGGAGGCTGGCTGTGCAGGATCTCATGGATGTCACGCGTTGACGAGTAAGTCTTAGTCGCAACCGTGAACATCCAGGCGATGGTGTGTGCGTGGAGGCGGTGGAGGCTGCTTGTGCACGATCTCATGGATGTCACGGGTTGACGAGTAAGTCTTAGCGGCAACCGTGCTGGGGTGGGCAGTCAGTATCGCGGGAGTTTTGAACACCGGGTCATGGGGTTGCAGTGGTACTGGCACCCACCTTTGATGGGCGAGGTCACCGGTTCGACTCCGTCGGGATGCGGGTCAATGGGCTACAATCTGAAACTGTGAACCTACAGTCGTAAGCCTCGTTAACCGAATAGAACGCCTGGTCATTACGGCTGTATTTGGGGCAATGTTCAGTCCAGATTACGGCTGGATTCGAATCTCAGATTTTAAGTCCCCAAGCCAAAAGCGGCCAGGTCGGTCAGTTTCAGAAAGGTTACGTCGGGTATCCCAGGGGTCAAGTCCAACAGGTACCCGGTCAACCGTCACATCCAAGAGGCAAAAGTGTCACGACTCAAAGTCAAAGGTTGCATCCCACAGACCCAAAAGCAGCAGCACAGCAAGGAAAACTGAGGGAGGTACCGGGCCTCAACATTCTGAAGCAAACAGGCTGCGGGCAGCCGGTAGCGGGTCCAAGTCAAGCCAAGAGAAGCGGAGGCTGGGACAAGTCACTGGCCATCCTCATTTCGAACAGATTGCGCATTCGCGAGAAGTGTGGAAGTGCTGCTGAGCGCTTGTGCGCTATCTGCGAGTAGTATGTGCTCGAGCCCTGGTTGGGCAGCAGTGCACTGTGGGAGGAAGGCGGCCGTAGCCGCACAGCTAGCAGTCAGACGCAGAGCTGAGTAGCAGCGGATGTATCCAAAGTGAAGATCTTCATGCACACACAGAGAGAGAGAGAGAGAGAGAGAGAGAGAGAGAGAGAGAGAGAGAGAGAGAGAGAGAGAGAGAGAGAGAGAGGAGGTCACCTACCTAGGTGAGGATGCTGGATTTGGGCTGCCGAGCTCTTGCGCTGTTGAGCGCGTGGTGACTGGATCTCGGAAACTGTTTATTAAATTATTATGATAATAATTCGTTGGAATTTCTAAGGTGCGCTAATCTGGACTGTGCATCTCTGATCTCCAGTGTGGATTTCGTGTGATCTCTCATTGTGTGTGTGCTCAAGGTGACGAGCAGTGTGGCTCAATGCGATATTATCTGGATGCACATTATTCTTTGTCTTCTTATCCGCACAGTCTTCGTCTTGTTTCAAGTTTCACCAAGTTTTTTCTTCTTTTTTTTTTTGGTTCCAACAAGTTGGCAAACTGAGGTTAGGGGAAACATGTACAGTTTTTTCTTACTCTTTAGATACTCCCGGCGAGTCGGTTCGTTCTTTTTCAACTTTTTGTTGTTATTTTATCTTTTTTTAATTTGTTTTTTTATTTTATTTTTTTTCCCGTCCTTTTTTTCGTTTCCTCTTCTCGCTGCTCATGTGGTTGCAGGACATCTTTCTGGCAGTCTCGCTACGGAGGGTACAGTGGCGATTTAACTCCTGAGTTGGCAGTGAAACTGCTTCGGCAACAATCCAATGTGGCGCTGGTTGATGTTCGATCCCAGGTTCGAGAAGCTTCTTCTTCTTCTTCTTCTTCTTCTTTGTGTCCTCGTCACCGTCGTCTTCATCTTCATCTTCGTCTTCCTCCTCCTCCTCCTCCTCCTTCTCCTCCTCCTCCCTCTTGGAGTCTAAGAAGCACGTATACGTCATGGGTTTCACAGAGCTTGAACTTGTAACCTATGGACTACCTTATTCACCCGAATACAACGTACGGTAATTCTAGCTGTATTGGGGGTATCTTTCAGTCTAAATACAGTTATGATGACCGTACGTTGTATTCGGGGCAAGAAGGTAGCACTAGCGGCATGTGAATGGGGCACTCCACTGCACAGTGCAATGATATTCGCGTTTTCGTCCCACAGTTCGGCCTCCCCCCTCCTTCCCTCTCCTCCGTTCCTCCGCTCTTAATATTGAAGGTACTTCTAATTGTCAAATCCTGAATTTCGTCAGTGTCCCATTTCCTTCCTTAGTCGCTCTCTTTCGTTTTCTCTTTAAATTTGCACCCCCAATACTGTCCGACTCCTTAGTCAATAGATATTACGACAATGGCTGGCTACAATTTAAAATAAAAAATGGCAGGTGTCAAAGTAAAACTGAAAAAATATGTTTGACTGTTTTTTCGACATGCTGTGTGATACATTGTTTGCCTCTGTGATACACTTCAACTCTCTCTCTCTCTCTCTCTCTCTCTCTCTCTCTCTCTCTCTCTCTCTCTCTCTCTCTCTCTCTCTCTCTCTCTCTCTCTCTCTCTTGCACCTGTCACCGTTGCAGCATTGTTGTGCACCCCTGCCCCCTACCTTCCCCCCGGGCATTTTATATTGGGAAAATTGTGGTGTTGGTGCTTGTCACTATTAGTAATATAATAATATATGCCTGGAGCCTGGACTCCAGGTCAGAGGGATTATAGTTTTTTTTTTTTTTTTTTTTTTTTTTTTTTTTTTAAATTTTTTTTTTTTTTTTTTTTTTTTTTTTTTTTTTTTTTTGAAAGTTTTTCCCTTTCTTCTCACAGTTGCGGAGTTTCTGTAAAAAAAAAAAAGAAAAGAAGAACAAAGAAAAAAAGGTTTTAGCAGTTGGTCACACGCGGAAAAGCTTTTTCTGAAGTGAGACATCGCTTTTGCAGCCTTAGTCTCAACATTTTCCAAATCAGGAAAATCCGCGATGCAAACTTCCTAACCGATGTTGCCAACCATTCGTAATTTTCTGCAATTCTTGGTTTGGGGTTGGGGTTGGGGTTCGGATTGGGATTGGGATTGGGGTTGGGATTGGGATTGGTGTTGGGACCTGCAATTGGGATTGGGTCTGATCGGATTGGACCCCTCAGGAGGAGAGAGAGAGAGATGGCGTTCCAGATTTGCGACGCTCAGCGCGGTACAAGACGGCAGCGGTGGAATTCTCAAAGGTTTGGGTGATGGGTTTCTTAAACGTTTTTTTTTTTTATTCTTATAGTGCATTAAACTATCTTTTAAATTTAAATTATTATTTTGTTTTTATTCTATATTCTTATAGTGAATTTAAATTATCTTTTTAATTTAAATTGTTGTTGAATTTGTTTGAAATTTGAATTGGAATGCTCCATGACAAAATACAGTGATTCCATGACTGCTTTGCTTGGGGAATTTCCTCCTCTCTTTTTTTTATTTTTTATTTTTATTTTTACAGTTTTTTTGAATGGGTGTCATCCTTGGGCAGGAGCCATGGTAATCTTTCTCTGTATTGTTCCAATTGTAACTGATGTCGCGAAGGACAACACTTCCTCCTCCTCTTCTTCTTATTTTGCTTTTTTTTTTTTTTTTTTTTTTTTTTTTTTTTTTTTTTTTTTTTTTCTTCTGCCATTTCTTTTTTTTCTTTTTTTGGTCGTGTGTTCGCTCTCTTCCCGTCTTCCTGAAAATTCCATGCTTATTTTTTGTCCCCCCCCTGTCGCTTCATCCCCCCAATTGACCCTGCACCCCCCCTCCCTACCTCATTAAAAAAAATGAGGGGAGAACTCCTAGAGGACAATGTCAAAGCCCCCCTGCCGCGAACCCCCCCCCCCCCCCCCCCCCTCCTCCCCCCCCTCTCCCCCCGAAATGTACATCGCGGTTTCGAGGGACAGCCAGGGGCTGAGAAAATGCACCGGACTTACTGCATGTCGGATATAAAGAGGAAAAAATTTGAAAAATCTTTTTATAGTTCGGCATGAACAAAGGAAGAGCTGGCAAGCCTTCAATGTCTTTTTGGTCTGTGATCACAGAGCAATCTGTCCTTGTCCTTTTGTGAAGTGCGAGGCTTCCATGCGCAAAGGAATTTCCAATTTTGAGAGGCGCGTATTTTTTGCTGAAGTGAAGCATATGGAAACCTGATAATTGCAGGTTTTTTTTTTTGTTTTTTTTTTTTAGGGTAATTTGCTATGTCACCATAGTGGCCCGGGACCACTTGCCCGGCCGGGCCGAAAAAGAATAAAAAAAATAAAACGAAATATGTTTTTAATTTTATTTTCTAAATTTATTTTCGCAGAGAATTTTGGTCCGACGCTGAGGCCAAAAGTTGTTCAGTTTATTTTTCTGCACAACAGAAATTGTTTTTCGGATTTTGTTTTTCTTTTTATTTACAGTGACCTTCCCTGGTCCTTGCCAGGCCAGGCCGCCCGGGCAGACGATGTAACCCGGGCAGCCCGGTTTGTAACACAGGTAATTGCTGTTTTTCAGATATTGTAGGTGCAAAGGGGAAAAAGAATAAAGCAAGTACCTGGGGTGTTTTCCTTGGTGCCGGGGCCCTTGAGACCTACCCGGCAAGTACCTAGAGTATACCCTCAACGCATCTCAGGTGCTTTCCATGGACCTTTTTTTTTTTTTTTATGGGAACAAAGCTCCAATCTATTCGTGGGGAGTAACACGTGCTGGGAACCGGGCCTTGTTACATGTATCTGGAGATTCTGGAGTATGGACTGATCGTTAGACCGAACACATTCGAACCGATCCAACATTTTGAGTGTATCTGGACCATTTCAAGGTGCAGACTCTGCAGAGACATTTGGACTATTGTGCAGCGGAGCCAGGCCCGATGTCCGCACCTGCTACTGATTGCCTCCAATGGCAGGCACTGCCAGTTAGCCTGCCGTCAGCCGAATACAACTCATGCTAGAACGATCGAGCATTCTGGCACGCTGCGCACAGAGTGTGCAGTCTAGGAGATCAAGAGTTTAGACTCGTCAGCACTATGACTTCATTAGCGTATCACAGTTCGAACCAACGACGCATGATCATTACCTCATTCGTTCATATGCACTCCGACAGTTTCAATCTCATCACTTAGATAACGACATGAACCCTCACCGACTCAGCATCAACAAGGACAGGTAACTCGACAAAAGCATCACGAAACTTCACGGACCGGTGACTCAACAAGAGCATACAGCCCTTACGAAAACTCGATAACGACGTGAGCCTACACAGTCTCGACTCAACAAAAGCAAGAAGTACAAGTAAATCCCTCCGAAAATAGTTTCGATTGATACGACATGAAGCACAGAACAAAGAACCTGAAAAACATTGTGAAAGCTCCGTCCGACACATGAGCAGCGTCCTACTCTAGTGTCCTGGCAGTGTCCTGGCAAAACGCCCGACTTCATCTGATTCCATAAGGGTTCAAACTCTTGTTCTCTTTGATGACCTCTGTGTGTGTGTGTGTGTGTGTGTGTGTGTTTGTGTGTGCTGCGTTGTGTGTTTTTTAAAGATCCCCAAATTCTCTCCTCATCCCAACCACAAATCATCACAATCCATCCATAAAACAAAAAAGGTATGGATACTATTGGATAGGCAATATATGAGAAGATGCAAGGTTGCCCATGCTTGTGTGGTTGAGCGGCAACTGCCTACACATCCGTCTGCCACTGGAGTGGCACACTTGCACAAATATATTGTACTCTATCAAGGGGTCAAGGGCACAAGGTGTGTGTGTGTGTGTGTGTGTGTGTGTGTGTGTGTGTGTGTGTGTGTGTGTGTGTGTGTGTGTGTAATTTGATACGAAACCCGATGTGAAAAGACGTGGCGAGTTGCGCAGAAAAAACACATCAAGCAACATAGTACCAGGAAACATAGCGTCCACTTGATATGGCATGACCAAAAAACAAACAAACAAAGAGAAGCTAAATGCCCTTCTGTTGAAGCCAAACAGAGTAGAACATGAGGAAGGGGGCAAAGAGCAGCAAACAGGAGGTAATGCACACTGAGAAGATATAAGGCACATAAATGACGAGCAACAACAAAACACAGGCTGGAGGGCATGGGGGGGTAAACAGAAATAAGATAGGAAAAGGCAAAGACAGTGAGGTGAGAAACAAGTAGTACCCACGGAAGGCATAGACATAGGCTAGAGGGCCTATTCCGGAAGGGCCCTGGGCACAGGGCCTATTGGCCTATTCCGGAAGGGCCCTGGGCACATACACTTCATGAGACGCAGTTGGGTGCCGCACACGCGTCCAGGCAGACACACTTTCCATACAGGAAAGTGCTGCTGCCAGCCAGCTGCCTGGGCTGGGGCTGAAAGCGCTGGTGGGGCGCAATGTGAAAGCTCCTGGGCTCAGCTTGGCCAGGACCCCAGCTGGCTAAAGATAAGAGCCAAAACTACTCAGTGGATTCCATCCGGCATAAGCGTCTGGATAATCCGGAATGCGGCGTGGCATGCCCGCAAGACCTATATTATGGTGTTGGATCCTGAGTCTTTATGGTTTTGTCTTTTGTTTTCGAACTCGCAACGAAGTTGCCTTGACTGGTGCCCCTCTTATGTCCATCTCTCATTTCTCAATCACAAGAGATGAAGATAAAGTCCAAAAAGCATCCTGAGGTTCGAATATGAGCCTCGTAATCTCGCTATGTGCTGGAACAAGCTGGTTGGAGTGGTGGTCCTTGGGAATTGAGGACGTAGTCTGGGTGGAGGATGATTGGGTGCTAACCTGGTGATGGTGGTGTTGGTCAGTGAAACCAAAGTCTCATAAATAAATAAATAAATAAATAAAATTTAATAAATAAAAATAATTAACATAAATAAATAAAATTAAAATAAATAAATGAATAATATGAATAACTAAATAATAACAATTAATAATAAATAAATAAATAAACTAGGAAGGTTTTATTATTATTATTATTATTATCATTATTATTATTATTATTAACCCAAAATTGCACTTTTATTAACAGGGCCCAGTGCCCGAGTCAATTACATACTCAAGATAGTCGATAACAGGGACAAGGGTTGTCCTGCCTCACGAGGAGCCCGGAGCCCTGTCCCTGCATATACAGTCTCCACACTCTTTACCCAAACACGGCACCATCCCTGCCACGAGAGCAATCTCTACTCCCATCTACAACCAACCTAGCAACAACCCCAACAAAAACGAGATAAGAACTACCAATTCCAAATAGACGGAATTCTAACAACCACAGAAGAAAGCCAATGTAAAAACCCCTAATCCCCAAAATTCACAACAACATCTCGCTAACAACCTCAACCCTAACACAACAGAACCGAAGGAGCAAACCTACATAGAAAGTACTCCTACTCAACACAAACTACAGAGCACGACACATCAATTCATAACATTAATCGCAAACCTGTCCAGGGTATCGAAAACTCCCCCACACAACTCCCAACGCAAGGCTGTCACGGGTATCCAGCACGGTCGCGTAGAAAATGCCACTGTCCCACATCCCTATCACCACCTTCAAGTTTCCCGTACACACCATCTCCCACCCAAGCGTCGAAAAAGGCACCAGCAACATATCAAGTAGGGTTGCGCACCTATAAACTAGCAAGCCATTTTGTTCGAGCAAGGTATTCCAATATCAAACCAAACAGCAACATCGACTGAGGAGCAGGATTGTCAATGCCCCAAATAACCAGGTTCGAATGAAAGGACACGCAGTGGCACACATTGAAAAGGGAAATCCTACGAAGCACATAGGCTAAATAGGGAATAACGAAAAACAGGAAAAATCGAACTTTTTTTTTTTTTTTTTTTTTTTTGAAAGCCTAACTCGAGGTCACCAAAACATACGAACAAGACAAAACAGGCAATTTCGGAAATACCCCTAAAACTAAACTTAGCCCTCAAACGATGCATGCCAAACATTAAATGAGTCCCCCATCTTCTCTGCGTTCCTCGCAAAAGATCTTCAATCTTCAACTCCAGGCGAAAACATCTCCATCATAGCGCATCAACGAGAAAGCCCGAAAACATCTCCATCATAGCGCATCAACGAGAAAGCCAAAAGACCTCCAACAGAGCTTCGCCAGCTTAGCCCTCCTCGCGCTCCCGTGATTCCCACGTCAAATCAGCGCCTAAAACGGCAGCCAAAGAATCAACCCCTAAAGCGGCATGTTCATCAACATCGCAACCAAAGCTTCGTAACTAAGACCAAACGTTCTTCAGCATGCTGATCAAGCTCCATACCCGGTATAACAGCATCATCTTGCAAGCACGCCACACCCACACACCAACGCACTCCCAACTCAGCACGCCAGTACAACCACGCCTAACCCCATGGCTAGGAGCGGCAGGGCCGGATGAGACCAGTCAAGCATGGTGACTCAACCGTGGCGGCGCTCGCCGCCGGCCCCAGGCCGCAACGTCGTCGCCTTGCCTCACCCAAGCAGCTTTGGGCTATTGCAGTAGGCCACTCCGCAACGCTCTTCTGCAGTCTGCTGTCGATCAACTTCTTTTAGTTCTTTGTCTTTATGCTGAATCGAGTCTTTTTTTTTTTGTTTAATAATCGAGCCTTTTCTTGGACTTTGCTGCTTCTTTTTTTGGTTCTCAATCCCAATACAGGTGGAGGGCGCGGAGAGAAATATGTTCAAAAATGCTGACGAGACAGATAACCTCATCACGGCAGCGAAGATAGCCAATTTGAAGATTGTGAAGGTAAGTGACTTTTAATTTTTATTTATTTATTTTGCCCTTCTCACCAAGCAAACCGTTTTTCTTTTTGTTTCCACCTCGATCCTTTTTTGTTTTTCTCCGCCTTTTTTTTCTTTCTTATTTCTTTCTCAAGGGTGCTCTACTTTCTATTGGTGGGGGGGAGATCCACCTGCGGGCAACCAGTCCCAAAGTGTCCCAAGAAACTTGAAGAAAGTGACATCCAGTATCACAGATTTTAGACTTATCAATAAGATGAAAACGAAATCCATGGCTACAACTTTAGTTATTTTTATCATCAATCATCATTGTCTATAGACTCTATTGAGCCTGGGCATGACCTCCATTGGTGATGGAATCTACTTCTTTTGACGATGATCGTTGGTGCATGTTTCATTGCCTGACTGTCATGGCCTGACAATCCTCCAGACTCCTCCTCCTCCTCCTCCTCCTCCTCCTCCTCCAGACTCCTCCTCCTCATCATCATCATCCTTGAACTCCTGCCTGACTGTCATGGCCTGACAGTCCTCCAGACTCCTCCTCCTCCTCCTCCTCCTCCTCCTCCTCCTTCTCCTCCTCCCACTCCTCCTCCTCCTCCTCCTTGGGGTTGTATGTGAGGGTTATGGTAAACTTCTCGATTGGCCAATTTAGTATCGCCTGTTTTCTAATTGCTTTCCTATTTTGGTATTCCCAATCCTTCTTTTCCTCTCTTTTGAGGACCCTGCAGTCTGGAACCCAAGTGATCGTTCTCGACAGCAATGGGAGCATGTCGAAGGAAATTGCCCGCGCCATCACCAAACTAGGTCGGCGAGTGAGTATGCTATCTCATATCCTCCTCCATCTTCTTACATGACCTTTCCTTTTTCGCAGTTGGCGCTTTCTTTCTTTTTTTCTTTTTCTTTTTTTTGGTTGAGTGTTTTCCTTTTGGCCCCCCTTCCTCAGTCGCTGCCCCACAAATGTCTATCCTCCACCAAACGTCTCCGGAAAACCTTCGCTTACTTCCGATGGCTAGGCTTGAGTGTTCTGGAAGCATGCAATTGCGATTGCGATTGCGATTGCGATTGCGATTGCAGTTTCTATTGTTATTGCAGTTATAGTAGGGTGTGGGACTGCTTGGGACCTTGTATATCAGTTGGGTATTTCAGGGTTGGGGTTGATTGAGTGTTTTGGTTTGGTCTGATGAGATGTATGCAAGCTTTTTGGGCCGAACCTGATGAGACGTATGCGAGTGATTTTGGCTCGACCTTCTGAGAGCTTGCATCTGTCACGATTAGACATATAGAGAGTTTGATAAAAAATATTTTTAAAAATGCCAAAATCTTCATTTTGCCCCCACAACCTACCTTTCTTTAGTCCCATCTGTGCTGGTGCTCCATCTGGGACCCTCTCCCACTACCCTAAGGACATCTGAGACCTTCCTTGTCCCACAGTTGTTCCCTCTGCCCTCTTTTTTTCCTGGGGCCTTTCTTGTCCCAGAGCTGTCCCATCTGCCCCCTTAATCTGAGACCTTCCTTTGTCCCAAAGCTGTCCCATCTGTCCTTCATCTGAGCCCTTGTCCCTCAGCTGCCCCACCTGCCCTCTCTTTCCGGGACAGCTGTGGGACCTTCCTTGTCCCGCAGCTGTCCCATATGAACCCATTTATCTGAGACCTTCCTTGTCCAAAAGCTATCCCATGTGTCTTTACCTCAGTCCTTGTCCCTTAGCTGTCCCATCTGCCCTCTTTGTGTGGGACCGCTCTGGGACAAGGTCTGAGATGAATGACAGCTGTGGAGCCTTTCCTAGTTCCACAGCTGTCCCATCTGCCCCCTTGATCTGAGACCTGCCTTGTCCCACAGCTTGTCCCATTCATGCATATGCTGAGTGGTTCAATAGCCAGAAGAGTGACTGTCATATCCCTCTATGGTCCCCTTTTCCCATTTGTCCCATCTGTACCATTTTCCCTTTTCTCCTCATTTTGCCATTCCCATTCGTCCTTCATTTTTTACGTGTAACACTGTTGACAGAAATACATTATCACTTTTATTATATATATTTTTATTATTTTACTATTTCATAAATTTGTGGGTTTTAGTTTCAAAATGTCATGGCTACGCCGGACCCGGACCCGGACATTTCCGGACATGGAACCGGACCCGTGTCCGGTAGTTTCCGGACGTCCGGAATTCCGGACATTTCCGGRCCTCCGGACATGGTGGGATCCGGACGGTCCGGAAGTCTGGACAGGTCCGGAAATGTCCGGACCATTGAAAAAAAATAAAAATAAAAAAATCTGAAAAGTCCGGAAGTCTGGACAGGTCCGGAAATGTCCGGACCATTAAAAAAAAATAAAAATAAAAAAATCTGAAAAAAAAGTATGTTATGCAGAATAACAATGCAAACCACTTTTGTCTCAGAGTCATGTCAGAATTCCTAACCAAACTTGAGGTAAAAGTCAAAAACTATAAAAAGCTTAAAAAAAGACTTAAAAAACTAATAAAAGGTAAGGAATTATTAATAATTAAAAAAATTGGGGTTGTCTAATAAATTACTATAGAGAGAGAGCATGTCCGGACCCCCCAAAAAAGCATAAATGGGCCTGAAAAATCCCCAAAACAATTTTGGGGGCTTGGCTCCTCAATGGGGAAGGGTCCTGGACCGTTTTTTTTTTGTTTTTTTTTTTTTTCTCGAAATTTGCCAGATCCAGACCTTCCAGACCGGACGTCTGGATTCCGGACTGAATCCAGACCGTCCGGACGGCGGTCCGGACGTCCGGATCGTAGCCATGCAATATATATATACGGTTTACCGGGCAGTTCTATTTGACGATATATATATATATCGTCAAATAGAACTGGCCGGTAAACCGTAGGCAGAGAGGGAGAAGAGGACAACAAACAAGGGGCTGTGACAAACTGTTTCGTCGGAGTTTCACCGACTCATCAGCAGGCTGAATATATATTTTAATGTATCTGGCAGGCACTTGCAGAAATCCGGTTGTCGTTCTGATCAGTTTAATATCTGATCCGTGGTCCTTCGGATCACATTAAACAAACAAACAAACCAAAAAAAAAAAAACAAAAAAAAAAAAACGGTTGTGGAGAGGCCGTGCCCTCTGCAGTCTATTCATGACTGCTGCCCATCAGTCCCTGGAGGCATCTAAGATCGTACTCACTCTAGGACTTTCATGATGCATGATGGAATTTGGACGTGATCTGCGGCGAGATTCATCACCTCATGCTGTCCTGCCTTCTTCCTCTGAACATAATGCAAATGAGTTGTATTTGAAATTTGAATAGATCGCACCCTATTCGTTGTATTCGTTTTACAACACATATGCGTTATGTTCGGGGCAAGAAGGCAGTGTGAAATACACCCTAATTAAAAAAAAAAAAAAAAAAAACCACCCTAATTTAAGGCTAATTATGATTAAATTATCCCCCTTATGATTTTTTTTAATTGGTTCCTGACTCGTAATGTTGGACTTCCTTCTCTTTTTTTTTTTTTTTTTTTTTTTTGGTAAAGATGCAGTAATTTTTCTATCTTGGATATTGACAGCCTTTTCATGAATCATGTATGTGCATCTGCGCTGAACCCATACTACTCGTCGTTCTGCAGAGGGCGTACCAAGTTGACGGCGGCTTTGCTGCATGGCAGAAAAGTGGCTTGAGAGTCAAGGCCGAGGGTGCTGTAAGCCCCTTGCAGGTCCTCAAAGAGGTGGGTAGAAGAAAGGTGGAGGAAAAAAAAAAAAAAAAGGTGCTGGGGGG